CTTTGGAAAATGTCATCTCTTAGTGCCTCAGTTACCTTGTCTGTTAAATGGGATTATCTCACAGGTGTGCTGGCGGCTAAATTCATTCATGTTTGTGGAGTAAGTCAAGAGCCTTAAATGGAAAAGCGAAGCAGTAGCTTGATTCTTCCTATACCCACTAAAGGTCTCTCCGAGTCCCTCCACTCCCTGATACAAATTCCTCCTGTCAGCCCCTGGATATCTGATAACTGTTTTGATCATTCACTCTCCACAGTGATCCAGCTCCTCACAGTAGTGAACAACTTACATCTCTTCTTCCCTTACCGGTCGGTTAGGTACATTCAGCTTCATGACGTGTGTTGGCCAGGGTTTAAGATGCCTGCAGACAAAACTCCACAGCTGCTTTTTTGTTGTTGTTGTTCTGCTCTGGCTGCCCTGTAGGGGGCGGCGGCGTGGAGGACAGGAGCGCCCTGCAACAAGCCCGGCAGGACAGTCCTGGTCCTTCCCTCCCAGCCGACCGGAGCGGCGCAGAGCCGGCCCGGCAGGCGGCGCGGCGGGACGGGCCGCGAGGCAGCGCCCCGCTGAAGCCCTGGCCGCCACCCCTTCTCTCTCTTTCCCCCCGCTCCCTCCCCCGCCCCCCACTAGCCGGGGCACATCTGAAGCGCAGGGAGTCCCCCTGCACCCTGGCTCCGGGTTTGTTTGTTTTTTTTGCTTGGGGCGGCCAAAAAGCCAGAGCCGGCCCTGTGTGGGGTTTGAGATATTCCTGGTAGAACTGCCAAGTTGTCTGAGATTTAACACATTACTCTGTGATGCTTTTAGACACACATCTGCCTGACATGGAGGGTGCACAGGATGGCAGGGGTTAGGAGGGCAGGGTTAGTGTTGTTGGGGGACCTTAATTCTGCATTTCTATACTTTCTAAAGCTGTCTTGTCTTATTGTAACTTTAAGAGTGACTTTTGTGGCATCTGTGGTTAAAATTGCAATGCTCTATTAAGCTTCATTTCCATTAAGAAGTTGATAAATATTTACAAGCTTGAACTTAGGTTGATAGTTGTTTGTCATGGTTCATTTTTGTTTTCACAGTTTGTCAGAAATCAACATAGATGAAATAACAACCAAAGAATTGGAAGTTTTGCAGAAGATAAAACCTGGTTTGTCAATTGTGCATAATGCAGCATCCAGCCATCAGAACCCAGGTACAAAGACAAGGAGGATGGAATGTCTTTTATCTCAGTGTCATACATTCATCTGCAGACTAATGTCTCGGAGTGCAGAACTAATGTGGAATATTTTTGTGATGCACTGTCGGGAGGTTGGACTCGGTCTGCTGTTAAGCATTGCTACATATTGGCTTCACTGGCTGATGTATATTTAAGTATCTGAAATGGAAGGTTGTATAGAGAATTTACAAATCTTGAGACAGTTTTTGACTTCCTTTAAGGAATCACAGTAGCACAAGAGATTTGAACTGGGAATTGCTTTCCCTTTAAAGCTGGCGTGTCAAATACCTGGCCCATGTGATGTATTTTTGTTGCTGTATCACATACTCAGATTCTGCAGAGTAGAAGCTTTTCTTTATTGACTTTTTAAAAGTAACTTTTTTGGCCTCATAGTTGTGAAGAAAATTTCCTGTATGTGAAATGAGTGTCACTGAAGCAGCGATGTCTGGCTGAGTCTGCATGCAGATGGCCTGAGGACCCTGGGAAGTGTGAATGCTAATGCAAACCCTGCCCCTCCGTAATCTCCCTAGGGTGCTAGTTCTAAATCCCCAATTCAATGTCAACATGAACTATGTCATTGCTGATCAGTTTAGGGGATGGAATGGGGAAGAGGGTGGGAAGCAGGTCCATACGGGTGGGAAGATGGGAGTTAACAGGGAAGGAAAACCAGAAGAGACACACAGACAGTGAAGAGGGGAGATAAACAAAGGGAAAAAATAAGAACTAGTCCTAAAGGAGAGGAGATTTACCCAGTGACTGATACTGAATGTGACAGGAAAACACAGATCAAATAATAAACAACAGAACTTTTCAGTGGTTGGTATCATTGCTATGTAAAGGCCACGTTCTACCCTGGAGCTCTGAGCCAACCTCCCATTGCCATCAGTGGGAGCTCTGCTGTGGACCAAGGGGAGTGTGGAGTCTGACATTTATTTCCTGACCCAAGGACCATAATTTAACAAGGAAATTCAGCCCCTTCTAAAGAGCAAGTTTGAGATACACCATAGGTGTCAATGAGAGACAGAGTACAAAGGGGTTAATTCCCCAGAGCCATTGAGGGTTTATGCTGATGTAAATCTATTAATACTGAAACAGAATCTCTGCAGTGAGGATTCAGGTAGCGGAGATGAGTCACTGTCAAAAAGTAGAATTGTTGGAATAAACCAGTTATAACCAGATGGTTACACCGAAGAGTGCTGGAGAAATTTAATAATGAAGTAAAGCTGCTAACCATTGAAATCAGCTCCTGTAGCTGAGACCTGGGACATAGCAAACACTGAATCTGTCTCTAAGTGTTGAGGTGATCCTGGGAGTTACAGGCTGGTGAGCCTTGTGACAGATGAACACAGGCATGTCTTTGAGACTTTATATTATCTACATGTTTATGAGCCAGACCTTGGAAGCTGGAAAACTTGAAAGATTTACACTGAGATGGGCCAGGGGAGATGGGCTTATTCATAGGCTGTTGTATCAATACGTGTTATATTTGTGGGTATTTGTGGGTTCCTGGCTCACTGGCTGGATTTCCCGGAGAATCTGGAGTCACTAGGGGTGAATAAAGCAAAATCCCAAGACTGGTTATGCAGGTGTCCAGACATTGAAGCTTCTCTCGCCGGGGAAAGGGTCAGTGGCTGGTTTTACCTGTTTCAGGAGGCCTGGGAAACAAAAGCCCTAAAATCATGTACGAGTGTGAGCCTGAACTGACAGAAGGGCTCATTCAATTCAATAACCTGACGTGAACTTTGAGTGAGAGACTCGAGAGCAGGAGGGGGATTTGCTCCACTCTTGTTCTGACTTTAGAGGGTGTCGTTAGTTTGTGGGTGGGGGAGAGGGCTGGGGGCCTAAGGGAGGGAGAGATGTGGGTTGGAGGGAGGGGCCTGGTCACCTCACTGTCAGTGCAGGAGGAAGACTCAAGAGGCCATGCTTGGATCCAGAAGAGAATTTTCATTCTGTTCCAGTAGCTGTCACTATCATTTGTATATTTACAAGGGTTTTGTACAAATCCACAGCTGTTATGTTTGCATTTTGTGTAACTATTTCCAAGATTTGTTTATCCTAGATGTATGTTTGCATCAGTTTTGCTGGAGTCCAATAAAGATCAGAATCAAGAAATAATGTTGCACTTTAAAGATTGTATTTCTTGCCATGGTTTGCGCTAATGCACAAGAATCCTCCTGTTCTCTAGGGCTAGGGGAGTCCTGATGGATATTTCCTGGACATTTTTTCATATTCCCAGTTTCTTATCTATTAGTCAACAATTCCAGAAGCTTGTGCAGGGAAAATGACAGGTTGGCCAGCTGAAGGAGGGTGTTTGTTTTTATCTGGGTGCTCATGACTTGTTACAGAAGGGGGTATAGGACAAATCCTAACTTTTTAGCATCCATGTTTGAACATTTTGGTCGAAATATGTGAGGATGGTAAATAAATGAGACCAGAGTATTTTATAGCTCACTACAGAACTTGTTGATCTCTGTAAAGTGTGTTCATCAATATTGCTACTGAAACCACGTATTTCTGGCCATTTACTAGCTGTTTCTTTTCTTAAGTTTAAGAAAACTCTGTTTCTTGTGTGTGTCAGTATTGTCTTTAACTGGAAAAGGGGAGGGGAAATTAGGTAAATTCAGTGCCGAGAGATGGGCAGGGATTACACTTAGGCTGGGTCTACACTACCTGCCTGAATCGGCGGGTAGAAATCGACCTCCCGGGGATCGATTTATCGCGTCCCGTTGGGACGCGACAATCAATCCCCGAATCGACGCTCTTACTCCACCAGCGGTGGGAGTAAGCGCCGTCGACGGGAAGCCGCAGAGGTCGATTTTGCCGCCGTCCTCACAGCGGGGTAAGTCGGCTGCGATACGTCGAATTCAGCTACGCTATTCACGTAGCTGAATTTGCGTATCTTAAATCGACTCCCCCCTGTAGTGTAGATGTAGCCTTAGAAAGTGAAAGGTTCTTCCTGTTTACACAGCTTTTAGCCTCCGCAGGATATCCCACAGTGCTTAAGTGACCACTCTGGCCAGCAACTCAGCTGCTCTGATGCCAGGTAAACAGACATCCACCCTTCCCCCTGTAAAGCCCCGTGAACTTTGAAACCCCCCTTCCTGTTTTCTTGGCAAGTGCTCACTTATCATCTGGCCAGGTGATAATGCCTGCTCCACGGAGCAAACGATCCCCTGCTTGGAGCAATGCTGAGCTACTGGAGCTGATCAGTGTTTGGGGAGAGGAGGCTGTGCAGGGACCCAGGATGCCCCACGATCACCCTCCCCACCCTTCCCACAAGATCCATTGTTAAAATGGAGAGAGCTGCACTATGGGATAGCTGCCTTCCGTCGGCGATGGAAGTGCTGCAAATGTGACCACTCTCTGATGCCTGTGGAAATAAGTGAGCAGGGCCATCCTTAGACTTTAGGGTGCCCTAGGCAGGATTATTAAACTGGTGCCCTTATGCCTGACTTGCTCTTAGCAACACAAACATAGGCTTACAGTATTGGAAAACTTGCCACATGTACTTTATTAAAAACAACGAGGAGTACTATTTCCCCATGTTTATTTCCCCCCCTACTGTTCCTCACACCTCCTTGTCAAGTGTTGGAAATGGGCCATTTTGATTATCACTACAAAAAGTTTTTTTTCTCCTGCTGTTAATAGCTCACCTGAACTGATCACTCGTTATAGTGTGTATGGCAACACCCATTTTTTCATGTTCTCTGTGTGTGTGTGTGTGTGTGTGTATATATATATATATATCTTCCAACTGTATTTTCCACAGCATGTATTTGATGAAGTGGGTTTTAGCCCGCAAAAGCTTATGCTCAAATACATTTGTTAGTCTCTAAGGTGCCACAAGTACTCCTCATTCTTTTTGAGTAGTTTTGTATCATCTGCAAATGTTGCCACTTCACTGTTTACCCCTTTTTCCAGATAATTTATGAATATGTTGACTAGGACTGGGCCCAGTACAGACCCCTGGGGGACACCACTATTTACCTCTCTCATTCATGTATAGCTCTGATTCAGCCATTTTGCATCCAACAACCTGCCACCACTTATCACAGACATACTCTTGGCTTCCTGACTTGGCTGATGTTAGCAGGTAACCCCAGCACACCTCCCATCTCAAACCTATGTGCTCTGCGATGTCCAGCCCTCTCCTGCAGCATTCAGAGGAATAATAAGGTCTGTTTCCTCCTCTAAAGAGACAAAATGCACAGCTTGCCACATTCAGTGGAGTTAGCTAACACTTTTATTCAAACACAGCACTGTTGGTTTAGCTCAGGGATCGGCAATGTTTGGCCCACGGCCCGCCAAGGTAAGCCCCCTGGCGGACCAGGCCAGTTTGTTTACCTGCCCCGTCTGCAGGTTCGGCTGATCGCGGCTCCCACTGGCCACTGTTTGCCGCTGCAGGCCAATGGGGGCTGCGGGAAGCCACGGGCAGCACATCCCTCACCCTGCGCCACTTCCCGCAGCCCCCATTGGTCTGCAGCAGCGAACCAGCTAAAAGTGAAACACTTTCCAGTCAGTAAAACTGAACCTAGCAAGATACAGTCTTTGTTCAAGATGGCTTTTCTCACTCAAGGTCTTCCAGCAGGATGGTGGCTGTCCCTCCCACCCTCAGTCAGAATCTCCTCTAGAAGCCAAAGTGCTGGCTCCTTTGTCTTCTTAGGTGAAAGAGATCATTTGGGGCTCTTTGCCCCTCTCTTTTATAGTCCAGTGAACCTTTGCAATGGATCCTTCTGAAGGTTACACCTCAACATTTAGTCAAGCTGTGAGGAAGGTGACACTGAGCCTGGTAGCGAAGGAAGGGCCATGGATCATTGGTGTGCAGCTGCTTCTGCTTCCACAGCCCGTCAATGTGCTGCTTCTTGCTGCTGCTTTTCTGCCTCCCTCTCCTGGGCTCCTGCTTCCCAATTTTAGTGTTCACACTCTTTGGCTTCCTGCTTAGCTAAATAGTTCAGGCATTCATGCTTCTGTCGTAATTTGTCACTCTCCAATTTGGCCAACTCTAGCTTTGTAGTTGCTTTATTTTTGTTCTGTTTCCTTTACCCAAAATAAACAAACAGAAAATAATAAAATTGTAACCTTTCCTTGGCTGTTCTCAGTCCCTACACTTGAGAATCACGTAAGTGGTTCTCAACCAGAGGTACGTGTACACTGGAGGTACGCAGAGGTCTTCCAAGGGGTACATCAACTCATCTAGATATTTGCCTAGTTTTACAACAGGCTACATAAAAAACACTAGCGAAGTCAGTACAAACTAAAATTCATACAATGACTTGTTTATACTTCTCTATATATTATACACTGACATGAAGTACAATATTTCTATTCCAATTTATTTTATAATTAAATGGCAAAAATTAGACAGTCAGCAATTATTCAGTAATAGTGTGGCTGTGACACTTTTGTATTTTTATGTCTGATTTTGTAAGCAGGTAATTTTTAAGTGAGGTGAAACTTGGGGTACGCAAGACAAATCAGACTCCTGAAAGGGGTCCAGTAGTCTGGAAAGGTTGAGAGTCACTGACTTAAACCATTACCCCAATGCTTGAGCTGTAAATCTCAGTTAAAATAGCAAGCAGTATGTAAATCCTGCATGACTACACCACTGTCCCACAACAATTCTTCGTCTGCCCTCTCTGTAGCACTTTTCCATGTAACTTGAATGTAGCATTAATATTTAAAATAATGTTTTAACTATTGATTAGTTCAATAGAAATCATCAAAATTATTTGCATAAACAGTAGCATGTATTAAAGCAAAGGTGTCATGATAGCTTCAAAGCTGTCGGGATAACATACGATAGTGAGAGCC